TATTTATTCATGAGACACACAGAGAGAAAGAGAGGCAGAGACACAGGCAGAGGGAGAAGCAGGCTCCATGCAGGGAGCCCAACGTGGGACTCGATCCCGGGTCTCCAGGATCACACCCTGGGGTGAAGGTGGTGCTAAACTGCTGAGCCACCTGGGCTGCCCCCATCTCTTCTTTCTGCCCCAGCTTCCCCCACTGCCATTTGTTCCATCTTTACTCCCGCCTGTCTTTTTTTAAGCTTGTAGAAATTTTCAAACACAGAAATAGAATGTTCCAGTGAATCCTGTGTGCCCATTATCCACCTTCAACTATGAGCAGGTCACCAGTCTTTCTTCATCTGTTCTCCCCTAAGTGTTTCTCAGTATTATTTTGAAGCAGGTCCCAATATGCATGACACTTCAGCTCTAAATACTGAGACAGACATCTCTTAACTCAGAAGGGTATTGACTTTTTAAGGTAACCCATGGGTTATTTTCACACCTAGTACCATTAGCAGTGATCTCTTAATACTGTCACTGAGTTCATAGTCATATTTCCCTAGTTGTCTCGAAACTCCCTCTGTTTCCCACCCCCCATCTTGATTTAACTCTGCTTCCATTACTCCTTTGCCCAGCACCTCTGACTCTCCATTTCTGTTCCATCCCCATGTAGCCTTTCAGTGTGGCCCTCTGATTTGGGGGGTCACTGATTGCTGCTTCTCTCCCTTGCCTCAGCCACCTCCAGTGTGGGGAGCGAGTGGGTGGAGAGAAGCATGACTGTGAGGAGGGGACCCTGTCCTTGGGGAGCTCCCAGACCGGTGGGTCAGGAGAGGGGGACTGGGCCCCTTGGTGGGAGGGGTTGAAGGGTGGGTGTGACCATGTGGTGGCACTTTGTCAGGCAGCTCCCTGGAGGAGGCAGGGCCTCAGGTGCCTAGCAGGCCTCCTCTACACCTTCCTGTTTGCCCTGCCTTCTGTTTCCAGGAAGATACACGGGCTCAGCGGCAGCGGCTGCAGAAGCACTTGGCCGAGCATCTCCACCAGACCTGGGGCCGACTGGGGGCTCCGCCACAGGCCCGAGACCTGGGAGAGCTGCTGCAGGCCTGGGGTCCTGCAGCCAGGATGGGTGCCTCCAAGGGCTCCCGCTTCACACACTCAGAGAAGTTCACCTTCCATCCAGTGAGTGGGTCTGAATGGACCTGTGTGTGCTGACAGGGCCAAGGCAGGCTTGCAGGGTTGCTTTCTGTATAGACAACACACTTGATCCACACAGGTTCCTGTGTTCCCACTGGGCATGCCCTTTCTGAGCTGGTGGGTGGGGGGTGTCCCTGGCTTCTCAGGGGCTTCGGTAGAGAAAGGGTGGAGGGGTGGGAGCCACATAAGGGTGTGCGAACCCTAGCTTCCCTTAGTTTCCTCTGGACTTAGCTTCTTTCCTTGATCTAGAGGGGCCCTCATCCTCCCCGTGGGCAGGAGCTGTGCCAGGATCAGGGAGGTTTCTTTATGAGCAAATATGTCTAGCCTGAGGTTTCAGAGAGTGCCCGGGTCCTCATAAACCCAGTCTGACAGCTGTCAGCAGTTGAGTGGATGTGAGGACGGTGCTGGAAGGGCACTTGGGTGCTGAGGCTGGGTGGGGTCGGGCGGGGCAGGGCAGGGCCTTCTCGGACAGCCAGGATACTCCCTTCTCATTCCCGCAGGAGCCCGAGGTCCAGGCAGCCCAGGTGTCTGATATGCCAGTCACCTCCCAGCGGCCTGAACAAGTAAGTGGAGCAGTGGGGGGAGGCTCTGGGCCTTCACCTGTCTCATGGGCCTGACACCCCGACCCCAACTGGCCTGTGCCTCTCAGGACACAAGGGCAGCTCAGGAGCAGGAGCTGGAGTCTCTTCGGGAACAGCTGGAGGGAGTGAACCGCAACATTGAAGAGGTTGAAGCCAACATGAAGACCCTGGGAATCAGCCTCATGCAGGTGGGAGGTGGGGAGGAGAGGGGCTGCCCACCTGGGGTTGGGTCACAGTGGAGCCTAGAGGGCCTTGCAGAGCCTGAGAAGACCTTGTAAAGGTCTGCCGATGTCAGGAGGGTTCAGAGGCAACCCTGGGGACCTGTGGGCTCTCATGGGTTTAGGAGAATAAGTGGAAGTGAGAGGGGGATGTAGGGTGAGTGGGTTCAGACCTGTGGGGGTCAGGGGCACCCGTGGGCATCGGTCAGGCTATATGGGTGTCTATGAGAATCAGGAGGGGTGCGAGCATCTGTGTCAGTATGATGTATCTGTATGGGCAGGGGCTTGAGGGTCTGGTCAGGGCTTCTGGGGTGGGGGGTGTCATTTTGTGGAGGTAGAGGGATCAGAGGGATCAGAGGGGCCTGTGGGTGTCTGTCACTGCTTACGGGTTTCCGTCACTATCAGGAGGGGTCAAGGGGCCGACAGAGGGTAGAGGGGTATGTTGTCATCTGTGGGGGCTCAGGCTAGGCTAGGGCTTTCCAGGCTCAGTGGGGGCTAGAGGGCTTTAGAGGGCTTTGGTGTGTGGCTGAGCTCCTCCGCTGATGGGAGTGTGGGGGTCATGGGGTGCCAGGTGGAGACGGAGTGTCGGCAGAGTGAGCTCAGCACAGCAGAGCGTGAGCAGGCCCTGCGCTTGAAGAGCCGGGCAGTGGAGCTGCTTCCCGACGGGACTGCCAACCTCGCCAAGCTGCAGGTGGGGCTGGCACCGTGGTTAGGTGGGAGGGCTGGAGTTGGAAGAGTCCATCCGGTGTGACACACATCCCCTACTGCCATCCCCAGCTTGTGGTAGAGAGTAGTGCCCAGCGGGTCATCCACTTGGCGGGTCAGTGGGAAAAGCACCGGGTCCCTCTTGTGGCTGAGTACCGCCACCTCAGAAAGCTCCAGGATTGCAGAGAGGTAGGTTGTGAGGCCCTGGGCTGTGGGTGGGGCAGGTTCAGTCCCTCCCTAGGGGCTCATCCTTGTGCTCTGCTCACTATCCCTCTACCCATGGGGTCCTGGCAGCTGGAATCTTCTCGACGGCTGGCAGAGATCCAGGAGCTGCACCAGAGTGTTCGAGCAGCTGCCGAAGAGGCCCGTAGGAAGGAAGAGGTCTATAAGCAGCTGGTAAGGCCCGTGCGGGGGCCCTGGGTAGCCCGGAGTGGGTGAGGAGTGGGTCCCGTGGAGTGGGTGGGGTGTAGGTCCCAGGAGAGTGTCTGCTATGTTCCGTCTAGGTGTCAGAGCTGGAGACCCTGCCAAGAGATGTGTCCCGGCTGGCCTATACCCAGCGCATCCTGGAGATTGTGGGCAACATCCGGAAGCAGAAGGAAGAGATCACTAAGGTACATCATTGCAGCTGTGGAAGGTTGGGGCAGATGCATGTAGCATGGCCACACGGGGACTTCACATTCTCTGAAAGGCAGAGCTATCTAGCCACACCCCAACATAGAACACTCCTACCCCGTCTGCTCCAGCCACGCCTGATGCAGTGGCGCAGTGACATCTGGGTGTGAGCACATGCACACAAATGCCTGCAGGCGGCCGGCCAGCCTGTGCCAAACATGGGCTCATGGCCACCCTGTACTCTGCCAGATTTTATCAGATACAAAAGAGCTTCAGAAGGAAATCAACTCCCTGTCTGGGAAGCTGGATCGGACATTTGCTGTAACTGATGAGCTCGTGTTCAAGGTATGGGTCAGGCTGGGCTGGGTGGAGGGGTGGGGTGGGGCTGGGCTGCTGCCTGTCTGTCTGCTTACAGGTTGGCTTGGGCCCAAGCCCTGTGTGAGCCTTGTAGGTATGCTGCTGCTCCAGTCTGGCTGTGTGCCACAGAGGATGATTAGGGGAGTGGGAGAGGGTGGCCTTGTGGGGTCCTGGAGGTGGTATTTGTGGGAAACGTGGGGGAAGCCCACTGATCCTTTCTGTCTGATCAGGATGCCAAGAAGGATGATGCCGTTCGGAAGGCATACAAGTATCTAGCTGCCTTGCATGAGGTGAGTGGAGTAGTGTCCAGGGGGGCTGGCCGGGGTGGGGTGTGGTGGGGGTGCAAGCCTTCTGCTCCTGCCATCCATAGAACTGCAGCCAGCTCATCCAGACCATCGAGGATACAGGCACAATCATGCGGGAAGTTCGAGATCTTGAGGAACAGGTGAGGCCCATGGGTAGGAGGAAAAACCAAGGCAGGACAGTGGACAGCACCCCTGGTTCACACCAAGAGAGGCTGTGGGAGCAGACGCAGCCCACAGCTGGACTCTTGGCCTTGCCCTTTAGTAGCTGTGTGTGTAAACTGTCACTGGCCAGCAGCCTGCTCTGAGCCCTGGCTCCCATCCCAAAGGCTCTCTCGCCTGCCTCCTGGGGCCATCGGCAGAGACCTCAGCTTGAGTATGTGTCGGCTCATCCTGCCATGTAGCAAATGATGCTTTAGGCAAATAGATGACACACACAAAGGCCCAATGGTGGTGGGACACAGCAGGCCGTTGCGGGAGGAGGTGTGGGAGGGGCACGGAGGGGCCTTCAGCAGCCTTAATGGAGAGGGGAGGTGGGAGCAGGGTAAGGCCCCCCTCACCCCACACTAAAGACATGTGATTCACGTTGCCTTAGATTGAGATGGAGATGGGGAAGAAGACGCTCAGCAATCTGGAGAAGATCCGCGAGGACTACCGAGCCCTCCGCCAGGAGAATGCTGGCCTCCTCGGGCGGGTCCGGGATGCCTGAGGAGCCCCCAGCACCTGTCTGCTCCCAGCCTGGCCTCCAGTGGGGAGTTGAGATGTTGGGGGCGATAGCCAATGGCTTGCCCTAGCCATTTCCTCTGGTGGCTGTGCAGCTCCTCCTGCTACGGCCTTGGCCCCAGACCCCTGCCCACCTGACCCCCACCCTTATCTAGGGTGATCATCTAGAGCATGGAAACTCAGCTGCAGTTTATTGGAGAGGGTACCGGAGTTAAGACCTTGGATCCCAAATAAATGAGGGGCTCTGTCTGCAGTCTAAGCTGAGGCATGGATGGGGACACAGGGTTCAGGACAAGGGAGGTGGGGTGGGTGGCAGGTGAGACATGGGGTATGTTTGGTGATTCAGTGTGTATGGCTGTGAAAGCCCATGTGGGACGCAGGAGACCCACTGGGGTGCCAAGTGCATGTGCATGCCCATGAGATGCACAGGTATATTCTGGTGGGCCATGTGACCAAGCTGATGTTTTGGGAGCTGTGTGAGAATGTGCACAGCTGGGATGTGTTTGTGTGGCTCTTTGGGACCTGAGATCCTGAAGGTACCAAGGCTGCTTCTGTGCGGGTCCCTGGGCACATCTCCTGTGACACTGCACCTGTGGGCCTGGGGATGGCTGTGGGTGGGTGCTTTGGGGTATGGGGGCTGACAAGGCTGTGCTAGGGTGCGATCGTCTGCCTCATTGCAGGCCTGAGGTTGTCTGAGTGTACGGAGGCAGGCTCTTTGTGTTCTGGTGTTTGTACTGCATCTAAGGGACTGGATTGTGACCATGCATGTGTCTTTTCCAGCCCCGGGGTCATCTGTGAGAATGACTGAGGCAGGCTGGATGTGTGGTTGTTTGTGAAGGCTCAGTTTGGCTAAGGAGTGTGTTGCAGGAAGCTGGGATGGGAGCTGGGGCTGGGGCCCCTCTGAGCAGCCTGGGTACAGAGCATTTGACCTAAAGAGGGTGGTCAGCTGAGGATCAGGGTCCCTGTACACCTCACTTTGTGGTCCCTGTAGGCATATCCAGGGTCCGTAGTCCCTGCCCCTGGCCACTTCCATCCCACCACCACCCCTCGTTCGGCCCCTGTCCTTCCTTCCTCCTTTCCTTTGCTTTGAGTTTAGGGGCCAGGTGTGGGGTTGGAACTCCTGCTAGGCCTCTGGCTTCTCTTCTTGCGGAACTCGAATTCGTCCACGGTCCACACGGCCCCCTTCTCACTCTCCACCCGCACGAAGCACTTGTGCAGGCTCAGATTGTGGCGGATGGCATTCTGTGGAAGGCAGGCCAGCCAGGCCGGGGGCAGGGGAAGCAGGCAGGCAGTCATCCTCTGAGGTCAGCAGTACCCATCAAAAGCTGGCCCCCTGCCCCTTCCCTACATGCCTACACGCCCTCCCACTCCTGAGCTTGGCCAGTACTATGGTAGCATTTGAGGCCCTCCCAGCCACTGCTACCTCCAGAGGAACTCACCTTCCAGGTGGCAGGGTGGTTCCTGAAGAAGGCAAACATGCGTGTGAACCAGTGGTAGATCTCATTGAGTGTCCGCTGCTTCTCAGGAGCCTCCAGGATGGCCTGGAGGTTGGGGGGCAAGGGGGTTACTTCTCCAGCTGAGAGTGGTAGTGGCCCGCCCTGGGTATCTGACATGGGTGGAACTGTGGGGGTGGGGGAGGGGAGGGAGAGAGATGGTGTGGGGTGATAGGTCAGAGACAGGGTCAGAAGTGGGCTGAGGGGTCAGGCCAGGATGGGGTGAGGTAAAGGGGAAAGGCTGACATTGTGGTAAGGTCTGGCTCAGGGTATGGCCAGGATCAGGTTAAAGGTCTGGGACGGAGCTGGAGCTGGCTGTCTCCACAGGGGTGAGGTTGCAGGGTTTGGGGAGGTTGAAGGCCAGGAGCAGGGTCAAGTTAAGGATTTGGGCAGAGTAAAAGGTCTTCAGGGAGGGGATTCATTAAGGGTCTGGCTGGGGATGGACTGGGGTGAGTTGAGGGCTCAGGGATGGGATAGCATTAGGTTAGGAGTCGGAGGTGGACCTAGTGATACAGCAATCTTATGTGTCAGGCATGTATTTGGGTTCAGGGTCAAGAAGGAGGTTGGTTGTGTATGGTCCTTAAGGGTCAGGGCTTGTGTTAGGTGTGGAGTGAGGCTAAAGGTCAGGGAATTTGATCTGTTTGGGTTTAGGAATGGGGTTAAGTAAAGGGTCAGAGGTTATGGCTGCAGTGAAGTTCTGGGTCAGGATGGGGCTAGGCAGGGGAATGTAGGGGCTAGGTGTGGGCCTACCCAGGATAAAGGTCTGGGCAGGCTCTAATGGAAGTGCTGTAAAGGCATCAGGGAGATTCACATGAAGCGTTTGGGATGGGGTGAGGCCAAGGGTCAAAGAGACGTCACAGGAAGGGGTTAGAGGCAGGGTCTGGCCGAGGAATGTGTTGACATATTGGGGCATGTACGGGGCTGGGAAAGGAGTTAGGATAGTATCTGTGGTGGGTTTAGGGCACGGGGCAAAGATCAGGTTCATTGTGGGGCTATTCTACAGGTCTGGGTGGGGGTACATATGGGTGGGTAGTAGGGAAGGGGTGGGTCGAAGGCCCGAATTTGGCTTGCACTGGCCTGGATAGTGGTTTGGGTTTGGGTTTGGGGGCAGGTCTGGGGTGAAGCCAGCATGGGGAATCATATCTGAGACTTGTCCTGGGTGTGCTCAGAAGGAGGCTGGGAATGTGGGAGGCCGGTCCCCACCCCGTTTCTTTTCCTTCTCCTTGACCCCCACTGCCTGCTTACCCAGCGGATGAGGGTGGCATAGGTGAAGGGGGGGCGCATGTTGTGGAATTTGAAGTAGTCCATGTTGTGGAAGAACTCTGTAGGGGGTTGGGGAGAATCAGGCCCCATCCTGGAGTGCCTCACTCCCTCTCCCATCCTCCATGCTACAAACAGAATCAAGTAGAATCTACCCTGGCTGAAATCCCTTGCTAACAGCACCGCTTTTCACCATTGGAGTTACTGTGCCAAGCCCCGGGCGTCAAGTATATGGCTCACCATTAGCACCATTCTCACCAAAATGGGCCTTGCTGTCCCCAAAGTTTAGAAGAAGTGAAGTAGCTGGCACACCAAAGGGATGTCACTGGCCAAGTGGCAGAGCCAGGCTGACACTCAAGGGCCTGGATCCCTCTTAAGCCCACAGCCCAGGCCTTGTGGGCAGTAAGGGGGTCTGTGAGCTTGGGAGAGTCATGCCGCTTTTCCTTGAAGGGGGAAGGGACAGTCCCTTGGAATCACTTGGCTAGTTCTCTCCCTTCTGATGACCAAATGGAGTAGCCGAAGCCCAGAATGAGTGAGCCCTGAGCCCCAGGGGAGATGGGGCTAGACACGAGAAGCCATGATGGGGAGCTTGCAGGCTTTGGAAACGCTGAGAGGCAGCTTTTGCAAGCAGTTGAGTTTTCCCAAAGGCAGGGTAGCAGTGCTGGGGAGGGGCAGGACTGGCTGTCTCCCCCCACCTCTGTGCCAGTCAGGGGGATTAAGGGCTCAGGATGAAGGTGGTGGGGGGCGGGCACCATGTAGGGCATAGACCATCCTTACCTGGGAATGTGCTGTTTCCATGGCTGCCCCAGAGGTGCCTCCTCACAGCAAACAGGCCATCAGGGGCCTCCTGGGGGCTGGACCAGGCCGGGCCCGTGGTGGCAGGAGTGCCAGCAGCTACGATGCAGCAGGAGCCTTTGTCAGATGATGCCTGCAGGAGGAGGGAGAGGCTACTGACTCAGAGGCTTAAACTTTCCACTTCAGTTTTAAATACGTAAGTGTTTTTAAAAACAAGGGAGCTCTCTTCTCCTTTCCAGTCTGATGTGGAATCTCACGAAGCAGCATGAGTTGTATTTATGAGAGTGTGAGTGTGGAGAGTGTGGAGGTGTGTGTGTGTGTGTGTTTAAGATTTTATTTTATTTATTCATAGAGACAGAGAGAGAAAGAGAGAGGCAGAGGGAGAAGCAGGCACCACACAGAGAGCCTGACGTGGGACTCGATCCCAGGTCCCCAGGATCATGCCCTGGGCTGCAGGCGGCGCTAAACCGCTGCGCCACCGGGGCTGCCCGTGTGTGTGTGTGTGTGTGTGTGTGTGTGTGTGTGTGTGTGTGTTTAGAGCACTAATGCTGGTGCCTCAAGCTGGGGCTGAATGGGGCTCCTCTCCTACCCAACTGTGACCTTAGGGATGATAGGAATACCTATCTCACAGCATCAGGAGGATGAGATAAATTAACCCCAGCAAAGTGCTCAGGAACAGTGCCTTGCACTTGGGGCCGGCTTCATGGGTGTGTGGCTTGTTTAATCACACAGGTCTCTGTACTGTGTCTACTGCTCTGTGGTGGTCATCTTGAAACTTGAGCTCCCTGTTTCTATTTTGCACTGGCCCCTGTGTGTTATATAGCCAGCCCTGCCAGTGGCACAGGGTCTGCCTCCAGTAAGTGGTGATTTGCTGCTGCTTTGAAAAATCAAGATCACAATGTTTTGGGAATCTAAGGGTCAGAGGGTTTGTAACTGAAGAGGACAGATTTCCAGGTCTGGGCATGTTTGGAGCTGGCCCCAGTCCTAGGGCCTGGGTTCGAGGTTAAGTCCCCTCCCCCAACCCCCCCAGTTGTCTCTTACACCTGTGGGCCTGGGGTGGCTCACCGTGGATGGAGCTTTGGTCAGGGTCATCTTCCCAGCCAAGTGGGCCTGCATAGCACCCAGCTTCTCCTTCTCCAGCACCAGCTGTGAGGATAGGCACAAAGTGAGGACTCACCTTGGCCTTTTTCTGTCACATCTTTGCTCAGGCCATGGTCCTTCCTGGGAGTGCCCTACCTCCTCCCTTCCTTTATGCCAGCCCCCATCCTGGGTGAGCTAAGCACAGGGTGGACATAAGGCTCACCCATCATCCCCCCCCCATGTCACCTGCTGTTCCAGAGACTGCACCACCTCCCTCTGGAGGAGACACTGTGCTCTGCCCTTCTCATCTAGGAGATGGTCCGCCTGGCAGTGCCTGGATAGGGGGAAGATTCCATGTGGGTGACCATGGTGGGCCTGCCTCCTGACTCAACACTCCGAGTGAGGAGAGCCAGACCATCTTGGAGACGTCTCTGCAGAACCTCAGCTTCTCTCCCCTCTCTACCTCAGTCTCTCTCTTAAACCTGCTCTTGCTTCAATACACGCTACTTGGCATCTCCTGATGCCAGGCCTGAGCTCGCCGCTTGAGCCCAGCCAGGAGGCTGGAGATGATGTTGGGAGGCTGGTGAGTTAAGAGCAGACCAGGTAGATGAGGGCAGGAGAGGCACTCCAGGTGGAGGGGACAGCCTGTGTAAAGTCATGGTCATGAAGAGGACAGGGTGCAGAGTTGCCACTGGTAGTTGGGTATGGTTGGAAAAGGGTGTGTGTGTGTGTGTGTGTGTGTGTGTGTGTGTGTGTGTGTGTGTGGCTGAGGGGAGGGAGCAAGAGCCACTGTGAGAATCTGGGACTTTGGTGCTCAATAAAATCAGGCTGCTGTATTGGCATGAGGGGTAGGACAACAGGGCAAAGTGGTCAGGAGTGTGGATTCTAGAGCTTGGCTGCCTGGATTCAAATCCCAGCCCTGTCACTTAGGAACTGGGTGATTTTGATCAAGACACTTAATGTTTTATGGCCTCAGTTTCTGTATCTGTAAAATGGAAGTAAATAATAGTATATACCTCTATTATGATGCCCCAATATAAAGATGGGGAAACCAAGGCCCAGAGAAGCTAAATAGCTTGCCCAAGGTTAGACAGCCAGGGAGTGATGGAGCTGCAATTTGAATCTATAGTCTTAGCCTTTGCCTTTCGTCTTGTCACTACCTACTGAGATGAGGCCTGAGCTAAGACCTGTACCACATGCCACCTCCCACAGACTGGAGACCCTTCTGGACTGGAACAGGCCTGGGTCACTCACTTGAGGAAATCCTCTGGCTCCTCGAAGACCTTCTCACATCCAGGCCACTTGCAGACACCATTTGCCAGCAGCGAGTAGGAGCCCTGGGGCATGGTCGGAAGGGTGCTGGGGGGACACAGGGTGTCAGGGGAGAGAGTGGCAGGGCAAGGGCCCTTCCCAGCCTGGTCCACTCACCTGTCTTTCCTGGGTGTGCTGGGGCTTGGGAAGGTGCAGAGCAGTGTTGGCTCCCTGGACACCCACTCCAGGCTGGCTACGTTGATCCCTGCGGGTGGGGGCAGGGTACCTTGGGGGACTGTGGGCTGGGCCCTCCAGCTTAGCCCACAAAGACTCTCATTTTGAACTTTCCACCCTCCTGAGCCTTGCAGGCCCTGACTCCCGGGAGGGTTGGGGGGTGCTCTGTTGTCCCTAATGTCCAAGGCTTCTGGTGGAGCAGCTCAAAGACTGCCATTTGCAAATGCTGACATTTTGACTGCAAAGAGCTGTGGTTCTGTGATTTTTGCTATTCTGCATCTTTAAGGTTCTGAGCCTGACATTTTCAGGAGGTTGGAGTTTCCTAGATGAGAAGACCTGATGCCTCCGACCTCCTGAAGGCTGCCATTCGGCAGCCTACGCTGCTCACATTCAAGCACCCAGGGGCTCGGTTTCTGTAGAGCTGTGGGGTGGGGTGTTACCAGGTGGCAGGCCTGGCCGGGCCTTGAGGGAGAAGACGCTGGTGGCAGCAGTGGGTGGTGGCAGGCTGATCATAGCTGGGCTGTCCAGTGGGCGCACCTGCAGCACCGGGGTCCGAGTGTGGGTACCCACCGTGGAGAGCTGGGGGAACACGGGGGCTGTGGTTCAGCCTACCCCTGCCCAGTTCTCCCACCTGCTCCCCTCTGCCCTGCCCATTGCGGGTTAGTACCTGGTGCATGAAGTGTGGCCTGTCCTGGAGGAGCGCCTGCAAGTGGGGCGAGGGGCTCAGCCGTGCCCCAGAAGGTGCCACCATGACCAGGGGCACTGTGGGCAGCTGGGGGGAGAGGAGAAGGCATACAGATGAGGTGCCGTCCTTTTCTTCACTGCTCTACACATCTCACTCATATACTCCTTACCACAGCCCCACGTGGTGGGCACTGACCATCCCCATTTCACCTATGTAGAAACTGAAGCTCCAGGAATGACTTCTTCCAGATCAAATGGCTAATAAGTGGCAGAACTGGCCTCAACTCTGTCACCTTACCGCCTCGGGCTCCAGCCCTCTCCCCTATCACATGGGGATGGGGACACATGGCCATGCCCGTGGGACCATGATAGGATCTCCTCTCCTGAGACAGGGATTGGGAGGTCGGGGAGAGCCTCGGATCTCTGAGACCTGCTAACCAGGGACTTTCTTGGCTCTGCGACATCTGCATAAGTCACAGACTTGCCTGGGACCCAGAAAACCACTTCCTGTGCCCCAGCTGGGCCCCCCGCCCAGTGCCACAGTAAAGGTTGGCACCTGTAGGCCCAGGTACCCACCCCCTGCCTGCCCCATCCTGGGCCCTGGGCCCGGGGCCTCACCTGCAGCTGCGATGGTGGCATGGGGTTCAAAGAGGAGGAGGCATGGGCCCCGCCTCGGAGGTCCCGGCCCTGGAAGGTCACCCCCGGGCCCTTGGCCCCAAGCAGGTCCGAAGCCTTGGGTGCAGCCCTCCAGCTGGGCAAGGCTCCTGGGGATGGGCCAGGTGCCAAGGAAGGGGCTGAGGGCTTGGCTGGCCTGGGGTTGGGCATCGGGTCCTTGTCCGAGGGCAGGCTGTGGGGACATAGGAGGAAGGAGTCACACATGTCCCCAGCAGGTGCATGAACTACTCAACCACCTGAACCATGTGGACCCCCAACTCTGGTCAGAGCAGGCAGCAGTTGGGGCCTGTTCCCAAGGGCTCCACAGCTGGATCCCAGCTCTGATCATGTGTCCATGTGGCACACAGCCATGCATACAGCGGTGTCAGGAACACAGGTATGCATGTGTCTCCACACATGTCCCATGTGCAGATGTGCCCAGGGTCAGCACTCAGCCTGCCTGTGCATGTGGGCAGAGCCCTGCTGGTGATGTGTCCTCCTCCACAGGGGAGGTAGGGGATTGGAGTAGTTTGTGGGGCCTCAGACAGAGCAGGGGCAGGTCTCGGCTTTTCTCCCCCAACTGCTTGAGGGTTGTCTTCAAACCACAGCTCCCTGGTCCTCCCTGCACTTTGCACAGGCCACATAATATTTGCTGATCCTGCTGGGACTGGTCTCTGACTTTCCTGGTGGCACAGTTTTATCCCAGTGACCTGGCATATACAAGAGCAGAGGGGGGCCATGGACTCAAGATCCCTCTGGACGGTGTGAGAGGGACAGGTTTTAGAAAGGTAAGAGCAGGGATACTGGCAAGGAGGCTCCTGTGACAGTCCAGTCACCAAGTGACAATGGTGGCACAGACAGGATGGTGGCAGTGGAGATAGAAGTCGATGGATTCTGAGTGTGTTTCGGAGGTGGAGTCAGAAGACTTTGCTGGCACCTTGGATGTGGTGGGGGGTGGTGAGAGGGGGAGGGTCAAGGTGACCTCCAGCCAGGTATTTGCCTGAGCAGCTAGATGGACAGAGTGGATGCCACCTGAGATGGGGGGAACAAGGTTGGGGGTGACGATCCAGGTGTGGATGGACATGAAGAGTCTGGCATTAGACATGAAAGTGGAAATACTGAGTGGGCAGGAGTCTGAGTACACAAGTCTGGAGCTCAGGCAGGGATAGGGTCTGATCATCTCTGGGCTCCTGCCTTGCATGAAGCTGAAGTGGCAGGTGGCCACAGGGGAGAGAGATAGGCTCTCTTGAGCCAGGGCTTGTGGGAGCATCTTGACTCAGCCCCCACCAGAGTTTACCCCAAGTCTGCTTTCCAAGCCTGCACTCATATTCTATGCCTTGCCTGGAATGTCTGCTCTTCCTCCGTATCCCCTATCTGAGCCCTATCCAGAAAGTCCTCTGTAATGGCTCCAGGCTCCTTTGCTGAGCCCTAGAACCTTCCACTCCGTGACAGGCAGGGCTTCAGTTTCTCAGAATCCCAGTCTAAGAGGAATCCAGAGCTGGAAGAGGCTGCCTTGTCCAATTGCCATTTTACTGAAGGGAATACCCAGGTGCAGCGTTCCACAATCCTATGGGCAACTTGAGAGCTCCGTATCTTACTCTAGAAAGTGTGTGTGTGTGTATGTGTGAGAGAGAGAGAGAGACACTCCCCACCCCACTTCACCCCGCAGCACTGGGTTGGGCACGTAGCTGCTGATAGCAGCCCAGGCTGGCAACAAGCAGGGTTTAGGGGAGCAGCTGCTCCTTCCTTTCTTTGCTGTCAGCTCACAGGGATTGTCAGAGCTCTGGTGCAGAGGGAGGTGCAGGTGAGAATCCAGGTATTAAACTTTTGGTCTCTCACGGGGGTTAGAACATTACTACATGAGAATCAAGAGCCTGGATCTATGGAGGCTCATAACTCAGCGACCGTGAGGAGGTGAGCAAATGAATGAAGGCAGAGATCAGGGTGATGCTTCTAGAAAGCCAAGGCATGCCAAAGACTGCCAGCAATTCACCAGTAGCTAGGAGAGAGGCACAGACAGATTCTCCCTCACAGCCTTAGGAGGAACCAACCTTGCCGACACCTTGATCTTGGACTTCTGGCCTCCAGAACTGTAAGACAATAAATTTCTGCTATTTAAGCCCCTCCCAGTTTGTGGTACTTTGTTACAGAAGCCAGAGTAAACTAATACTAATTTTGGTCAGTGAGTGGATGGTTTCCACCACTCTGGCCTGGCTCACATGGCTGGCCTGTGGTCACTTCTGAAGCTGCCTGGACACTTGTCTGTGGGTCATAAGAAATCTCTTTCTCAGACACGTCTAAGATGTCCAGACTCAGAGAAGCACAGATACATTCTCAGAAAGGGGACACAGATATGGTCTGTCTGATGGTAGGGAACCTGGAGGGCCGGGCTGGGCAGCCAGCTTCCTGCACTGTCTGTTGGGGCGTCCCTTTCTGACTATTTCTCAGAAGCTGCATGGAGGATGTTTCTGGGACGCAGAGCATGTTTTCATATCGGGGTCTGCATCTGGGCCCTGTTGTCACGTCTCCAGATTTTCCGCCATTGACGTCATGGCGGCCGGATGCGCTGGGCTTCATTGGCCCCAAGGAGGAAGAGAAGGAGGCAGATACCCCACCCCACGGGTTTCGTTCCGAGAACTGGCTGGCCCATCCTGCAGCCGTCTTGGCCCAGGTGGGGGTGATGTGGGTGCCTGCGGATGTGGTGAGTGACGTCCATCTGGCCACCATGACAAGCCCTGGGCCCTGTAGACTTGGGCCATGGAGAGGCCTAATGTTTGATGCTTGGGGAGTACCATGCAGATCTGACAGATATTGGGACCCTGGGGGAGGGGTTTTCAAGGGGGGGTCTTCTTAGGTTCAAAGGATCCCAGAATCTCAAACCCACTCTGTGGGGTCCATGGGTCCAACTGCAAAGTATGTGAAAGGTAATGTCAATGGTGTCCAAACTCACTGGAACTCCCTGAAGGACAGGAAGCTCCCTACCTCATAGGGCCTTTGAGGCTTAGAATTGTAGCAAGCCTCCTCTTAGCCTCCCTACTAAGTTCTGTGATGGCAAGAGGGGTCAGAATCATCTCTACTCCCCCTAGCCTGGGGTTGGGCTCTGCCACTAACTAGCTATAACTCTCCTCAGGCTCATATGTAAAGTGGGATAATAATAGTACCCCTCTTCCAAAGTTAATGCACATGAAACGTTAACAAAATGTCAGTGATGGTCAGTGAACACTTACAGGGTCTCAGTCTCCCTGCCCATTCAAGGACAATGTTCCCATACTCACAGCCATGCCACAAAATATGGGGAGGGAAGGAGAGGGAGGTAGAGACCAGCATGCCTTTGGCTAGAGCCTCATTGCAGGGAGCAGGAAAAGCCTCAGTCAGTAGAGAGCCCACTGCCAGGCTCTCTGGAAGGGCCCCAGGATGGGAGATCCCAGGAACCAGTGCCAACGCTGGGGACATGGTTGAGCTCTATCCATAGCCAGACCCAGAGCCAGACTGACTGACTTATATTCTTCCAGTGTCACTACCCTCTGGCCACAAGGCCTCCTGACCCAGGGGATCCTGGGACCCCACCCTGACTAGTTCTTGTGAGGATGGGCCTCCATACTGGCCCATGTGGCCATGGAGCCTCCTGCCTGTTTAAGCATCCAAGTTGTGAGGGCAGAAGGGGGAATGCGGCAGCTGGAGGGCAGCTCAGGTATGCCCCTCCTCTCATGGGTGCTGAGAAGTAAATTGAGGCCCACAGTGGGGGAGAGAGACAAAACCAGGGTCCTGCCAAGAGCCCCATGGTCTGAGCTTGGGGCTTAACTCTGCTACTCCATCTCTGGGAGGCCTTGAGAGAGCCCCCACCCGCCCATTTCCAGGCCTCAGTTTGCTCCTCTATACACTGGGTAGAGAGAGGCGTGGAGTAGGTGAGGGCCAGGGCCCTTCCACTTCATGTCTGGGTGACTTGTTACATGTCTACAGGGTGTCAAGTCGACAATTTCCCCTCCATCCAGGGGACTGGCTGAAAGACAGGGATACATGGAGACAAAGAAACAGGAATAGGGAGAGATAGACAGATAGGCATAGGGGAACACAAAGACCCAGAGAACAAGAGATACAGAGATATGGGAGAGACATGAGGTGGGACAGAGATACACAGAGAGTGAGAGATGCTGGAAGAGAGGGAAGGGGAGAGAGAGAGAGAGAGAGAGAGAGAGAGAGAGAGAGAGAGAGAAGAGGAACTCCCAGGAGCAGAAAGTCCTAGAAGTACACACAAGGAGGGAAACAGAGAATGAGAGAAACCAAAAGAATAAGATAGAGGGAGAAGGAGAGAGAGAGTGAGGGAGGGAAGGAGAGAAAGGGAGAGAGGGGGTAGGAATAGATAGACATGGATGTCCCAAATAGGAACAGTTGCTAATCTCTGGCTGGAGGAACTGAGGCTGCAACAGATAAAAAAAAAAAAAAACTGAAGAGCAAGATGCTGGGGGGCCTGTGGTCAGCGAATCTACTGTATGGCAAAGCAACAATCAGCAAAGTGGTATGGCTCAGACACTGAGGAACAGAACAAAACAGAAAAGTTGATCACAGACCAATGTCTAGAGGGAATCAAGTTCGTGAAGAGTGTGGCATTTCAAACTGGGAGATGGTGGAGGATATACTTGTTTGACAAATGCTTCTGGAAACGTTAAGGGAAAAAGACAAAGTTATTGAATGAATAATCAGTCCATTTTTCCCACCAATTCCTCTCTGCCCAGTTTGAAAAGTCATCATCATCATGTACCCCAAAATACATTCCAAATCTATGAAAGAGATAAATAAGAATATCTAATGTTGCTCTTGGGTTTCTTATGTGCCAGGCCCTGTGCTAAACACTTAACATGGGTAATACATTTAATCCTCACAACAACTCTTTGAGGCAGGTGCTGCTATAATCATCATGGTATCTATAAGGAAATGAAGGTACAGACAAGTTAAATGCCTGCCTAAAAATCACACAGATGGCTTGAGGTGAGGCTGGGTTTGTCCCAGACAGTCTGGCTCCAGTACCCACACTCTTAACCTCCACAGCAAATGGAAAAAATGAAGCCATAAAAGAGACTAGAAGCCAACACAGGTGAACATTTATCTCATTTTCAAGTGGGAAAGGACTTTCTAAGCATAAAACCAGAGATAGTAACCACAGAAGAAAAGAGTAACCCATTTGACTATATAAAAACATCATAGCATCACAAAACTCCATAAACAAATAGAAAAAGTGAGTGATGAATTGGGGAAAAATATTTGCTATACATGTATGGCCATTGGAAGGTTAATATCCTTTCTAAATAAAAAGCTATGACAAATCAATAAGAAAAAATGATGAACACCCTATTAGGACTAAGGATATGACCAGACAACTTAAGAAAAAGTACAGATGATTAATAGATAGTATAGGTAATCAAAGAATGCAAATGTCAACAATGTTGTAATATTTTTTCTTA